CAGACAGAAGGGAAATGATACCATATAGAAACATGGATCTGCACCAAAAAAATGAAGGTTACTGGATATAGTAATGACATGGGTGTTATTATTTGTCGAAAGTCAGTTTTTTAAAAATGGTTTAAATAGTAAGAAAAATTAAAGCAACTGTATGGCTTTTCCCATGTCATTATTATATCCAGTGCCCTTTATTTTTTTGTGTGCAGATCCGTGTTTCTGTGTGGTAGCATTTCCCTTCTGTCTGAAAGACTGTTTCAGTAATGCAGAAGTGGGAAAAGCCATACAGCTGCTTTAATTTTTCTTACTATTTAAACCATTTTAAAAAACTGACTTTCAACAAATAATAACAATGAGATCACACCAGTGCACTCCAGACTGGATGACAGAGTGAGACTCCATCTCAAAAAAAAAACAACAGCCAAAACTTGGAAGCAACCAAGATGTTCTTCAATAGGCAAATGGATAAATAAAGTGTAGTACATCCAGACAATAGAATATTATTCAGCACTAAAATGGAAAAAGCAGGCTGGGCATGGTGGGTCACACCTGTAATCTCAGCATTTTGGGATGCCGAGGCAGATCAGGAGTTCAAGACCAGTCTGGCCAACATGGTGAAGCCTGAAACCCTATCTCCATTAAAAACACAAAAATTAGCCAGGACTGGTGGTGGGTGCCTGTAATCCCAGCTACTCGGGAGGCTGGAGCAGAATCACTTGAACCCGGGGCAGAGGTCGCAGTGAGCAGAGACCATGCCACTGCACTCCAGTCTGGGTGACAGAGTGAAACTCCATCTCAAAAAAATAAAAAATAAAAATAAATAAAACATAAAATGGAAAAAGCTATCAAGCCTTAAGTGCATATTACTAAGTGAAAGAAGCCGATCTGAAAAGGCTACATTCCAAATGATTCCAACTGTATGATATCCTAGAAAAGGTAAAACTGTGGAGATAGTAAAAAAAATCAGTGACTGCTAGGGATTGAGGGGAGGGAGAGGTGAAAAACTGCAGCACAGAGGACTTTTAGGCAGTGAAAATACTGTACATGACACTATAACGTGGGTCCACATCATTATATGTTTGTCCAAGCCCACAGAATGTACAATGCAGAGAGTGAACGCTAGAGTAAACTATGGACTTTGGAGGATTCTGATGTGTCCATGTAGGTTCATCAGTTGTGGCAAATGCACCACTCTGGTGGGGATGCTGATGGTGGAAGAGGCTGTGCATGAATAGGGGCAGAGGGGAATATGAGAAATCTCTGTACTCTCCTCTTGATTTTTCTGTGAACCTAAAACTTCTCTTTAAAAAAAGATCTTAAAAATAATAAGCTGGGCCAGGCATAGTGGCTCACACCTGTAATCCCAACACTTTGGGAGGCCGAGGCGAGCGGAGGTCAGGAGTTCAAGAGCAGCCTGACCAACTCAGTGAAACCCCATCTCTATTAAAAATACAAAAATGAGCCTGGCGTGGTGGCACACACCTGTAATCTCAGCTACTCAGGAGGCTGAGACAGGAGAATTGCTTGAACCCGGGAGGTGGAGGTTGCAGTGAGTTGAGATCACACCATTGCACTCCAGCCTGGGCGACAGAGCGAGACTCCGTTTCAAAAAAATAATAATAGTAGTAACAGGCTGATGTGATGCAGAGACCTGTGTTTGATCCTCAGCTGTGTGCCCTCCAAGCCTCAGGTTCCTCACCTATAAAACGGATCTGAACATGCCGATTCCATGGGACCATTGTAAAGATGCAGTGAGATTCTGTGTAGTGTTCAGCACAATGCTTGTCTGGTACCTCAAAGCCAGAGGCAACAACATTTGAGAACCACTGGGTTGAAACCATTCACTATTGGGACAGGACAGTGCAAGACAAAAATAAGGTTGAGCTCTTACCCCGAGGCATACTTTCACAGGAGAGTTTACAGTAAGAACAAGGGAAGGAGCCCTCCTGTCTCTGTCGTCCATCCCATTTCCCTGTAATGAGTGTCAGCCCAGCACACAGAAGGTTCCTGGAATGTTCCCTCCCTTCCCCCAGCATTATGGCCTGAGTGTCACTGCACTTCTTGGATGATGTGGGCTTCCCCTGGAGCAAGTGAGCATCCCAACAGGCCCAAGTGGAAGCTAAGGCTTTTTAGGACCTAGCCACAGAATGTCACCAATACTGCATTCTCTTTACCAAGAAAGCCAGTAGACTTTCTCTTCACCAAGACCAGTACCAGATTTAAGGGGAGAAGAATGAGATTCCCACACCTGAAGCTGTGGGCAGCAAGCGTGCCCAGGAGGGGGTGAGGGAATGCAAGGAGGCTGTCTTTAAACCTGGGTGACCCCACCAACGACACAGGGATTTTGGACTTAGTCCTGAAAGGCTGTGATTCTCACCTTGTCCCCAGCCTACTGGGCATCTAGGTGGTCCTGTCTTCTTGACCACCCCTGGCTATAGAGAAATGAATGCCCTTATTCACTGCTCACATTCTCCAGTCTCCTGGGACTCAGGGACTGTGTGGAGCAGGCTAGGGTGTTTCCAGGGTTGGGGAGTGGGCAGCTGGGTGCTTCGAGGGCTCAGAGGTAAGGTGGGACCTGCAAGCACACCCTCAGTGCCTGCAGCCTCTCTTGCACCCTTATACAGCCACATTTACCTCACCAAGGAGGGCGCCTCTGCATAAGAGGATCTGCCAGATAACTGGTGTGTACTCTGTACATCCAAGGAGGATATCGATTTAATGCTTAGCTTCTGAGTGGAAAATCTTTCTAATATGGCTTATGCGTTCTGGGTCTTCTTAAGCCAAAAACAGGAATCACATTTAACAACATGGGGAAGAAAAATCGTGGGCTTGGAGTCACGTGGATCTGGTTTCACTGACTTAGTTAACCACAAAAGCGTGCACTCCCAACCCCAGGCATCCCTCCAGCTTCTATTCCCTGCATGGATTGGGGTTTTCACAAGGGACTGCTTCAACTATATCCCGTTCCCTTGCTCAATAACTTGCAATGGCTCCCACTGCCTACTGATTCTCACCTCAGCAAACTTCTCACCCCAGCAATCAACACCTTCTATAATGTGGCCCTGACCTCTCTCTCCCAGCCCTGCTGCATCCCTATCCTCTAGCTCTAAGGACTCTGTGAATATTTCCTGGGCTTTCCTACCTCGATACCTCTCCACCTAGAACAGTCTTAATTCCCAGGCCCACCAGGCGTTATCTGCCTATAGTTCTAATCCATCTACAGCCCCCATTATCCAAGTCCTGATGATGACAGCTGTTCAGTGGCACTGGCATTCGACACTTCCAACTCACTGTCTTTTCCTGTTCATGTCTTTTCATGAACGTACATCTTGTCCTCATCCAATCCTCTAATAAATACTTGAGAAGCTACTATGTGCTGGGCGCCTTCTTCAACCTGGCACTTGAACCATTCCCCTCTTTGGGTTCTTGGCCAGGTCCATCATTTCTCCAAGATTTTATAAACACACAGAAAGAAAATCTATGTCCCATTCAAGTTTGCCCCACAGCATCCCTGTCCCAGTGCCTGTCATGGGGCTTGTCGCAAGGCAGGTACTAGACATTTGCTGAGCAAGTAAATGGATGGATGCACCAACATTTCTCTGCAAACTGCCCACTGCTTAGGGATAGACTGCACAGGGAGACAGTGACTGTCACACACTCCTGGTGGCCGCAGGACACACCTGGAGCAGAGGTTGAGCACCTGTTCCAGCCAAGCACCACCAAGTGCTGCAGGTAGGGAAGTAACAGTTCCCATCCTTACGGGGACAAATGGGACGAATCAACAGCAGAACGCAATCTACTAGAAAGGCATAGCGGTAAGACCACTTCCTGGAGGGAGAAGAGATAAATCCTTCTGAAATAGATTTGTCCTGTACCTTCATCGTATCTTTCTCAGGATGAAGCAATACAGTGGAAAACCCAGCGGCTTTGCAGATACTCAGGCCCAGATTTGAAATCCAGTTCTCCTCCTTACAAATGGCATGTCCTTGGGCGAATTATTTAATCTCATTTAGTGTCCTGACCTGTAAAACCGGGCCTCTGCCAAGGACTTGTAAGAATTTGCTGTGATAAAATATGCAAAGCACCAAGTGTCTGGCATGTAGTAGGTGCCCAGCAAACCTTAGCGTCTGTTCTCATGTGTGTGAGATTTCATGTTTCTGTTCCTTGCGGCCAGCACAGTACTGTGCATGTAACCAACATCAAATATGTGTCAAGGAGAATACATTGACCAAGTGGAATGCGAATTGTAAACAAAAAAAGAATATCAAGAACCTGGTCTCTGGGCAGGTTCTGCCTGTAGATGTTAAAAAGCTTCATGTTTATTTTGTCTAGTTACCATGGCAGCCACTGATGCTCCAGTCAGCTCCAGGGTTACCAAGGATCAATTTATCTTGTAACCATGGAAATTCCAGAGGTGCAGTGGGATCCAGAAGGGAAGGCAGACACAGCTCCTCTCCCCTCTAGAAATAAATCCTTGAAAGCCTCCTTAGTTTTCGTGTGGCTAAAACCATCATTATCTAAAATGATGTTTACATGACAATATTTATAAGCATGGATTTAGGCACAGGAGATGTAAAACCAGGCAAAATAAATAAATAAATAAAAGAGGGGAGGCAGCAATGATCAGAAGGACAACTAGCAACATGGAAAACTAAAGAGTCTGTGGGGGAGCCAGGATCTAGACCCTCAGAGCTAACTTGGGGCTTCTGCATCTTTTATGCCTCCATTTGCAGACTTGCAAAATCCACACACAGTCTGGATTTTGCTGTCACTTTTTAATCAGGCTTCCACCACAGGTGAAGCTTGGGGAAAAAGAAAGTGTCCCCTCAAACTTCATTCCCTATAAAAGAACAGAGCAGCCGATGGGGTCCCTGCCACACACCCTGGAGACAGAAAGGAGCCTCGGTGGTCCCCTGATCTCTCTGCTCCCACCATAACCAACCGACACAACCAGAGAAGGTGCAAGATGCGGCTTTGGTAGATTGGGACTTAGTCTCCCAAGCCAAACGCAGCCCCTCCCTGGAGCCAGCTCTGGGTCTTCTCCAGGGCCACAGACTGATGGGGAAATCCGGGGTTTGTCTTTGTTCTGGCTCAAGAGAGTGAAGGCACAGAAACAGAATCATCACCCAGGCCCAGAACTCCAGGGGATTCTGCTGGAGCAAAATTCAAGCTGTGAGAGGTCATTTGTTTTTCCGGCCATTGGGAACCTGTTTGTGTCGGGGAAGGGTTCTGGCCGCGCTGGCCACTGGTGGCTCATCAGACTCTACACAAAGCAAAACAGGACAGACGACCGCGGCTCCTCGACGCTCGGCCGATCATGGTCACAAAGCGGGTCTAAGCGCCTTCCTCAGGCGGCGTCAAAGGGGGCGCCCGAGGTCACCGGCAAGAGACAGATTACCCGCGCCTCGGGAAAACACTGGGGAAGAGACAGTCCTCCAGTCTGCGCTCGCGGGGGTCTGAGCTGCCCCGGCCTTGGAAGGCTCCGGGACCCCAGAAGGCGGACAGCAGTGGGGGATGGGCAGGGAGGGGGTGACTCGGGCCGCCCAGGCTCCTCGCAGCCTCCCTGCCGGCGAGAGGAGCCCCGGTGGAAACAACTCGAGCCGCGGGGTTGCGGGGCGCCCCTCCCGCCCCACCCTGGAAAGCCGCGATTGCCTCCCCCGACGCGCTCACCAGGTGAGGGTACCCCGCTCGGGACAAAGGACTGGGACGCGGATACCGGGCTGGCGCCACGGTCCAGCCCCGGCGTGGAAGGCGACACCGTGGCCCCGAACCTCCCCAAACTTGGCGGCCTGGGGCGCGTGGGGAGGGCGCCCCGTTACCTGCGCGGCCATAAAAGAGAGATCCATGGTGTCGCTGCCGCCGCCGCTGCTGCCGCCCGCGCTCGAGTCCTCGCTGCTGCCGCTACCGCGGAGGGTCCGCCTCCCGCCCGGCTGGCGGGGATCGGGCGGAGCGGTGAGCGTCCTGAGCCCCCGCGGCGCCCTCGGCTGTCTCTGGGCTTCTGGTTCCGGACGAAGACTGGGCGGAGGACCCCGAGCGCGGGGGCGGGCCAGGCGGGGCGGGGCTCGGGGGACGGGGCGCCCCTCCACGTGACCACTCCCGGCCCCACCCCAGGGGCGGGGCTCGTGAGAAATCCCTAGCGCTCACAACGGCCTCCCTACGTGGGCAGATGGGGAAACTGAGGCCCGAGGCCTCTCGGCTGGTGGTGCAAGAACCAGCCTGGGACCCAAGTCCGGCGCTGTGGACGCCCCGACCCGTGCAGTTGAGCCCAGCAGCCCAGGGCTGTGGGCAGCGCTGTCTTGAGGCTGGCATGTTACCACTGCCTGGGGACCAAGATCGGAGGGACCCGGCTTTCCACACCAGCGCTCCTCCCAGGGTCCGGTGTGCTCCCGGTCGGCAACTGGGCACCACGAGGTTTCATCCTAGCTCTGCTTTGTTGTGATTCTTGGGCAAGTTAGTGTCTTCGAGCCTAGATTTCCTCATCTGTGAAATGAGAGCACAGAACTGAATAATTAAACAAGATAGGGAACACAGCACGCGGTGTCCCCAGTAAACGAGAGCCCTAACATGGCTCATCAGCCCATAGAGACCAGGCTGCGAGTGGCGTCTGCGAGGACTGCACGGCGGGTCCTCCCTGGCCCTCTCCTCAAACGAGTGTCCGAAACCATGCAGATGCCACAGTGCAAGCGAGGGGAACCACAGAGATGCCCACAGAGGCCCATTGCTCTGTGTGTGTGTGTGTGGCGGGGGGGAGGCGGGTGATGTGTGGACACCCTAGACTTGGTGACACGTGGACGCTTTGTCCTTCCAGGGCTCACTGGGAGGGAACCAGTGGTGGGCTAAGGGGTCTCAGTGAGTATGACTGGTCCCTTTGGGTGTTGTCTCTCCCAGGTACTTCTCAGTCATGGTCATCATGAGCCTCTGTGTTGAGGGCAGTCTGGGACTCCTAGACTTTGTCTCAGGCAAGGAGGCTGTGGCACAGAGAGGTAGAGGAGTTTGTTCAAGGTCCCCCGCAGCTGGGGGCCCAGTAGGGTCTGTGGCTGTGGGAATGGGACCAGAACCTCACCGAGCCGCAGAAGGCTCTCAGTAAGTCTTTTTACCTTTCCTTTCTTTTCCTTCCCTTCCTTTCTCCCTCCTTTTCTTCCTCCTCTTCCTTCTCTCCTTCCTCCTTCCCTTTTTTTCCTTTCTTCTCTCTTTTCACCTTTCCCATCATGCTTGCCTTTTTCCTTCCTCCCCTGGTCTCTAAACCTCCCATTTCCCTGGCCCTGCCTCCCCTCCCTGTTTTTAGCCAGTGCTGTGCTCGCCACCTCCCAGCCTAGTCAAGCCGTCTACCTCGTTCCATACTTTCTGCGGCCAACGGCAGAGCAGCCTGCCCAGGATTGTCCGGGGCTCCACGTCTGATGTAAGAAATATTATGTACTCTTATTGTAAAGTCTTAAGCTTCACAATAAAAGGGCGTATATGTTGTGTGTGTGCAATTTGAAAAATAATGTAGTTCTGCATGAGTTAAAAAACGGAACAATAAAAAACAGTCTTCAAGTCCTGGGGTGTAGCTCTCCAAAGGCATCTCCTACCTGCCCCCTTTCCTGGGTTACCTCCATCCCATTTAGTATTCACTCATGTCAGTTCTCTTGCTTTACTTTATAGTTTCACCTTTATAGTTTACCTGCTTTAATGCTTTATAGAAAAATTAAATTGCTCTTTGATTTGCTCTTCCATGTCTTCTTTGTTCTTTTTTTTTTTTTTTGCTCAGCATTGTTTGTGTAGCCAATGTTTATTGTTTTTCAGTGCTACACAATGTCCCATTTGTATGACTTTATCACAGTTTTTATTGATGCATTAACCCTTTGACATATACATTAGTCATCTCCAGGTTTTCTGATAATGCAAAAAAAAAAAATGCTATGGACATTCTCAATCTTGTCTTCAGATGCACAGGTGCAAGGGGTCCTCAGGGAATATGCTAGAAATGGAACAGTTGGGTCTTGTGATCAGCTCATCTGTACTTTTATTGACTGATGCCCATTGCTTTCCAATTTCTGATTTCCAAGGAGGTTTGGCCCAGTGTATTATTCTACCTGTAGTAGGCATGGATTCTTAGTGCTCCACAATTCACCAACACTTTGTACTGTTAGGATTTTTTTTTAAGTTTTGCAAGTATGATGTGATGAAGATGAAGTAGTGTTTCGTTCAGATTCGAGCCTCATTTCCCTGATTACTAATGATACTAAGTATCTTGTATGCATCTATTGCCCAGTTTCATTTCCTTTGATGAGAAATGCCTTTCACCAGGTCTTCTTGTGCTTCTTTCAAAAATTTGCTTGTTTTTTTTAATTGATTCTGTAAAAGTATATATTTTAGACACTTATCTTGCTAGTTAAAGGTTTTTAAATATCACCTTTCATGTTTACATTTCGTTTTACTCTATTATATATTTTCATGAACAGAAGTAAATAATTTTAATTTGGTCAAAATTTATTAATATTTTCTTTTATAGTTAGCACTTGTTTAATAAATCCTTTCCCAACTTGAGACCATAAAGATATTCTCCTGTAGTAGTTTAGTAAACATTTAAATACTTTTTTTTCACAGTTTAGTTTTGTATAAGTGATATTTTGTGTGTGAGGTGGGAGTAAGGAAGCAATTTTATTTTTCTCGTATTAACATTCAATTATCCCAGCCCATATTGACTAGATCAGCTCTTTCCCATTGATATGCAACACCAAATTTGTCAGGCATCCATCTAGGCACAAGTCTGTTTCTAGGTTGTTCTGTTTTATTGTTCATCGGCCTAACACTAAGGCTATTCTGATCTAGATACTCAGTTTCATGCTAATTCATGTATAAGAGAGCAAGTTTCCTCACTGCGTTCTTTTTAAGGAGTTTCCTTAATACCTTTGGCTCTTTGCTCTCTGGATACATTTTAGGGTGACCTCGTCAGTTCTCCCAAATAACCTGGACTTGAAAACAATTCCATTAACTCTTTTTGGGGATAATTGACATCTTACACATAACAAATATTTCTCTTCTAGAACATGGCACATCTCTTTATGTGCTTAACTTTTCTTTAATATTTCTGTATAAAGATCTCAAAAATCTTTTGCTGAAATCATTTCCTGGTTCCTTTCTTAAAGATTTTATTTTGAGATGGTTATAGGTTCATACGCAGTTGTAGGAAATAATACAGAGATCTCATGTACCCTTTACCCAGTTTCTCTTAATGGTAACATCTTGCGAAATTAGAGTACAATATCAGCCCAAACTTGTTGACATCGATGTGAAGATACAGAACATTTCCATTACCACAAGCATCCCTCACTTTGCTCTTTTACAACGAGACCTGCTTCCTCCCTGCCCCATCCACTCTTTAACCAGGGGCAACCACTCATCTGCCCTCCCTTTCTATAATTTTGTAATTGTAAGAATGTTATGAAAGAATCATACAGTAGGCCAGGCACAGTGGCTCACACCTGTAACCCCAGCACTTTGGGAGGCCGAAGTGGGTGGATCATCTAAGGTCAGGAGTTCAAAACCAGCCTGGCCAACATGGTAAAACCCCATCTCTACTAAAAATACAAAAAATTAGCCAGATGTGGTGACGAGTGCCTCTCAGCTACTTGGGAGGCTGAGGCAGGAGAATCGCTTGAAGCCAGGAGGTGGAGATTGCAGTGAAATGAGACTGAGCCATTGCACTCCAGCCTGGGCAACAAGAGCAAAACTCCATCTCAAAAAAAAAAAAAAAAAAAAAAAAAAAAGAATCATACAGCTTATATTCTTTTGAGATCAGCAATTTTCACACAGCATAGTTTCCTGGAGGTCCATCCAGACTGTTACCTGTATCGATAATAGTTTGTTCCTTTTCATTGCTGGGTGTTATTCTATGTTATGGTTGTATCATTATCATAGTTGGTTTAACTATTCACCTGTCCAAGGACATCCTGGTTGTTTCTAGCTTTTGGCTTTTGTGAATAAAGCTGCTACACACATAGTGTATGGCTTTTTGTATAAACATGTCTTCACTTCTCTGGGATAAAGGCCCAGGATCATATGGTAGTTACAGTTTTCATTTCAAAGAAAGTGCCAAACTGTTTTTCACAGTGGCTGTAACATTTTACACTTCCACTAGCAACGTAGGAGTGGTTTTTCCATATTCTTGCCAGTATTTGGTGTTGTGATAGTTAATTTTGTGAATCAGTTTCTCTCGGGTGCCCAGATAAAGCATTATTTATGGGTGTGTCCAAGAAGGTGCTTCTGGATAAGGTAAGCATTTGAATCAGTGGATTCAGCACAGTAAATTGGCCTCCTCAAGATGGGTGGGCATCTGTATTAGTCTGTTCTCACGCTGCTAATAAAGACATACCTGAGACTGGGTAATTTATAAAGGAAAGAGGTTTAATGGACTCACAGTTCCACATGACTGCAGAGGCTTCACCATCATGGAAGAAAGCAAAAGAGAAGCAAAGTTTCATCTTACAAGGCAGCAGGCAAGAAAACGTGTGCAGGGGGACTCCCGTTTGCAAAATCATTAGATCTCATGAGACTTACTCACTACCATGAGAACAACATGGGGGAACTTACCCCGTGATTCAAATATCTTCACCTGGCCCTGTCCTTGACACATGGGGATTATTATGATTCAAGGTGAGATTTGGGTAGGGACATAGCCAAACCATATTAGTGTCCTTCAGTTGAGGATCTGCTTAGAACAAAAAGGTGGAAGAAGAAGGCATTTGCCTTTTTTTTCCCCCCTATCTCACTGCCGGAGCTGGGACATCTCATGTCATCTTGTCTTGCTCTCAGACTGGGGCTTAGGCATCATGGACTCCTCTGATTGTCAGGCCTTCAGATTTGGACTGAATTACCCCACCAGCTCTCCTGGGTCTCCAGTTTGCGGATGGTAGATTTTGAGACTTCTCGGTCAACTCTTCCTAAGAAACCTCCTCTTGTATACCTCTAAGAATATATAAGAACATTTCTGTTCTGTTTCTCTGGAGAACTTTGGCTAATATGGGCATTGTCCTTATTTTTAAATTTTAGCCATTATG